CCAGTCTAGAAAAGACAAAAAAAAAAAAAAAAAAAAAAAAGGGAGGGGTGGTGGCACATGCCTTAATCCCAGCATTCAGGAGGGTAAGGCAGGTTAATCAAACGTTCTAGGTCACTCTGGGCTATATAGTGAGACCCTATCTTAAACAAAACAAAACAAAAAACAAGATTAAAAAAAAAAAAGCTCAAAAACAAAGCTGACAATCTTTCTAACAGGCACTGGTAAATCAGGGCCAATCAGAGCCCCAGTTCCCATCTTTACGGGCTGGTACCAAAGTAAATTTGAAGCATATGTTCATTCCCCAAAGTGAGACTCCTAAGTGAAGAGATGAACAATTGGATCATTGTGACTACAAAGCTAAATACAGAGTCCAGAATCTACAGACTCTGCATGAACAAAAAGCTCACTTCCTTTCCAAAGCACCTGCTGCTCACATCTTTCTGCTCAGAGGCAAATGCCAGCAGCACAGAATAAACTGGCAACTTACACTGGACTTCATCTGGCTGGTCAGGCAGTGCCAGTGAGCCCTGGCGAGTGAGGAGGGCCTCAGGGTGAGCGGAGGTGTCACTGTTGGGTCTGTCCTCCAAGAGGCCATCGTGCTCGGCTGACACACCGTCCATGGTTAGGACAGCCCAGGCTGAGCAGGCAGTGAAGGGCTACAAATGACCCTAGGACAGGTACAGCTTCTGCCATCAGCAACAGCCCAGAGCTCCCAGGAAGGACCTCACTCTGTGTTCCGTTTTCAGGGCAAAACTTAAAGTCTTACACATGGCTTGCAGTCAAAACCAACCAACAACATGATACCTGATAGAAGGCAAAGAGAAAAACTGTTATAAAACTTCATTTATTAGGTTTCATGTAACAATTATAAAATTAACGTTCCTTCTCAATTTTCATTTAGAAACTAACATGGATTTGTTCATTCAACAAACGATCCCTGAATACTTTCAGTGTTTATGTTTTTGTCTTTTTTTGGGTTGGGGGGTGAGTGCCAGAATTGAACTCAGAACCTTGTGCTTGCCAGGCAGGCCCTGTACTGCTGACCTATATATCCCCAGCCCCAGTGTTTATGTTTTGAGGATAAAATGCTGAACCAGTCACAGCTGGGCCTTTCATGAAGGCACTCAAGGTCTATATTGGTGTTGGCTAAAGAAAGCTATGCCAAGTTAGCCATGGTAGCACATGCCTATAATCCCAGCATTCTAGAAGGCTAAGGCAGGAAGATTCTAAATTTGAGCCCAGGGCCAGAGATACAGCTCAGCAGCATAAGCACCTGCCTGGCAAGTTCAAGGTCCTGAGTTTGATTCCCGGTACCAAAAAAACCCCCAAAACATAAATTTGAGCCCAGCCTGGGAATGTTAGTAATTTAGCAAGATCTTGTGTCAAAATAAAAATGAGCCAGGCATAGTGGTGCACATCTGTAATTCTACTGCCAGGGAGGCTGAGGCAGGAGGATCCTCATGAGCTCAAGACCACCATAAGTTACCTAGTAATTCCAGGGCCAGCCCGAACTAATAGCAAGACCCTGTCTCAATAAACAAACAAATAAAACCCTTTTGACTCATCCTGCTGAGCTAAATTTAAGGAAATAACATCTCACTCTAAATTTGGCAACTGGAAAAATAAATAAATAAAATTGGCAACTGCTTATCAACTCCAAGGTGTATGGATGACATCAACACACTTCCTCATCAACAGAAAAGATATTCTGTGAACTTCTAATATTCTGCAGAAATGTTGGCATTAACGACTTTAGGATAAATTTCACACTATCCTATGTCTTGTTCTGTGTTTGGCATGTTTCATGACAAGTTATATAACCTTCATCCCTAATTTATGAATCCCATACAGAAATTACAGACAAGAAGCCCAAGTGGGTAGTCCTTAACAGTGCCTGTGATGCTGACTCAGTTGCTGGGCTGACAAACAGCATGCTCCTGTGACCAGCCCACACACTCTGACTCCATCTGTCCTCTAACACTGGTCAACCAAGAAAGAGAGCAGCTGCTTCTCATGGGTACATCCCGGCCTAAGACACAGTCCATATTTACTAGAGAAATGAATATTTGCTCAAACTGTAATAATCCAGCTATTCTTTTCTGCTGCTCCATACCCTACTGACAAGAGACACTGTGAGTTAATAACAGCACTGCTAAGAACATTAAAAACGTTATATATCAGTAATGGCAGACCTTTCAGAGCTTTCTGTAATAATAAACAGCCGGCTCTGGCACATGTGCCATAGGTTCGCCCCCACTGTTATATGGTGCTATTAGTGTGAAACTGGCAAAAGGGCTTGAATAAAAAGAACGTATGAAAACATTAGTAACTGCAAATCCACTGCAGCTAATAAAACAAAATACCATAAAAAACAGGATCTGGGAGTGAGTCTATGTGCCTAGCACATATAAATATTTGAAGACTAAAACAATGCCTGAGTCACAGAAATGAGGGAAGTTACTGAGGTTGGACAAAAAGTAATCCTGTGTGCAGTGAGTTTTCAATCTCACCTTGTCTCTATAATCATCAGTGACATCTTTCATCCCTGAGGAGATTTTTCCATTTGTGTTGATAGATCAACAGGCTTCTGGAGCCTGGTGAGAGTTCTGAGCTACACATTTGTCCTTACATATCCCACAGACCCCTCCGAAAATCACCATTTCACAGGATCCGATCTCTGGAAAGCCACTGTCACAACAACCAAGCCTGTTCCTCATTACCAGTTCTAGACACTTCCAAGGAACAACTGGTGGTGAGCCAGCCATTCCAGGATGTGGGTCTGTGAAGACACCCACAAAGAAAGGTGAGGCACAACAGCAAAATGAGGCCAAAGTTGCTCCCTTCATCAGAGGCTTGCCACTCTAAGGGCAGCTCAGTTAGAAACAGATGTGCAGGAATAAATCCAGAGGACCGTAGAATACACTGGGTCAGTGAATACTGGTACACCACATTATGGTCACCCTGCGAAGTTTCTTAGCAAGAGAAAACCTTTGCAATTTGCTTTGAAATGTCTTTGCTTCTGCCTGGTGGGGAGGATGATGTCTAAATCCAATGTGTTCTTACAAGACCACATCCCCACTCTTTGTCAGATAAAGCTGTGGTGACAGAAAGCCAGCCCCATGGCAGAGAATTAAAGTCCCTACTATCTTTCTACATCCACATCAGGCACTGCCTCTGAAAGGTAAAATCAAGATCTACTCTTTGCCATCACTATGTCGATATTATGCATGTGCCTCAATCACAGCACATTACTGCTATATCGTCCATCTACTCCAGGACATTGTACAGTCCTTTTTTTTTTTTTTTTTTTTTGGTACTGAATCGAACTCAGGACCTTGCGCTTGCCAGGTAGGCACTTGTGCTGCTGAGCTATATCCCCAACTTAAATATGTTACTTTTTTTAGGGGGGTGGTACCAGGAATTGAACTCATGACCTCAGGCTTACCAGGCAAGCACTTATGCCACTGAGCTATATCCCCGGCTGTAGAGGCCTTGAAACCTGAAACCATCATTTCAAGTCTCCCTCTCAATCAGTTGAAAACTCTCCCCATTCACAGTCCCACTCAACACAGGTTAATACATTAATCTTTGCCTTTGCCAAGTTCTATCCCTTCAAAACTAAGCTAATAGTGTAGTTCCAAAGCAAAATGATGATGTATCAGAATCCTTGAGCATCAAATTGCCATTTCAAGTGCAAAAAAATTCTTACCTATTGCTACTAAAATTATCTGGGGGCCTAGACATGGTAGCATGAACCTGTAATTTCTCAGCACTCTGATAGGCTGAGGCAGGAAGACTGTAAGTTCAAGCCCAGGCTGGGCAACTTACCAAGACCCTGACTCAAAATAAAAGGATTGGGGGTCTAGGGATTTAGCTCAGTGGCACAGTGCCTGCCTGGCAAGCGCAACGTCGTGAGTTCGATTCCCAGTACCGGGAAAAAAAAAAAAAAAAAAAAAAGGATTGGGGATATAGCTCAGTGAAAAGGCCCTGGGTTCAATTCCCAGTATGGGTAATGGTACTGGGGAAAGTTCGGGGCTACAGTTCAAATGAGGGACAAAGAATGGCTCTGGGAGTTATAAACTGGAAATGCAAAGCACAAGGGCCATGGCCTAGAGAAGCAATGTCACCTTGTGAAGAGGAGCAGGACACTAAAGAACCACACTTAAAAAGCCAAATATGCAGAAGAGAGAAGCCAGAAGTTCCAGACAGAATGTGCCTCAGAGGCAAAGTGACAATGCCCACACTTAACACTGTCCAGAAAAGAGGAACTCTAGCCAAGAATGTCCAAGTTCCACTGATGACAAATATGGCAACAAATGGATCGGGCTGTGGGAGCCTGAGGCCATTATATACTCCACTCTCAATTTCCCTCATTCTGATTTCTTGCCAAACAAGATACCTTTTGATTCCTAAACATTTGTACCTCCTTCCAGAGAACAGATAGTGTAGCCCTCCAGAATGCAGGACCCTGAGACTGTGACTTACTCTAGTAACTCATGAAGACAGCTCCTGGTCACATGCAGATCCCCCAGAAGCTGACCAAACAACTCCCTGATTGTGGCAGAATGGCCTGTGACATGGTCCTCCTCCTTGAAGGGCAATAACCTGTCTATCCTCAGACTGTCTATCCTCTGACTCCCCTGAATTTTAGTTAGCAAGACTCAGTCATTCAGGGCCTCATTACCTCAGACCGCTGACAAAGGCAAATCTCTGGGCAACAAGGAGGAGGACCAGACAGTTCAGAGTGTGTCAGAAAGAAGCTGTTATTAGTAACATGCAGTCTCCATTTTATGATTGTGTTTTTAAGAAAAGAGTTCTCATTATGCTATCATTTTTGACCACTTGCATTCCTATGCCCCTTAGAAAGCAGACACAGGGCAAAGCTATCACTAAGCACTCAGCAAGATGCACTACTCTAGGTTCACTCCTGCCTACTGTGATGGGGCTTCTCATTGAGAAAACATTTTCTTAGGCACCTCCAGCTTGTACCACAGCAGAGGCCTTGCATTAGATGTACATATCCAACAGCTGCTTCTTGAGGTTGTTCCTATTGGTAGCTAGAAACAACATATAGTCCAAGACAAAACATGATTTTCCAAAGACAATTATGTCTGAGGTCACACTAGTAACCAGTAGCAAACAGGACCATACACATGTGAAAACCAAAGGCCAATCTCGGGTCAGTGTACAACTGAGATATAAAGGAGAGGTTTAGAAGTGAACAAGTCTGCCTCAAATTCTGATATCTGTATCACTAGTCTATGAGATCTTGGGCAAATTTCTGATCCACTATCAGTGTTTCTTCACAGTAAAATAATGAAAAAGCAAACACAAATTATTGCCAGTATTGAATGTAATAAAGTATGGGGTCTAGCTGGGCATGGCTGCACTCTGGAAGGATGAGGCTGAGGTGGCAAATTTGAGCCTAGTCTGGGCAATCTAATGACTTACCAAGACCTTGTCTTAAAAAATAAAAAAGGGGGATGTAGCTCAGGGAAAAAAACCTACGTTCAATCCCCAGTGCAGGAAAGGAAAGAAAAAAAAGTATGGTGTCTGTCCTGGGCCCTCAATAGACAGATTTGATTATTAGTACTATTATTTTTCTTTCAACTGCTGCTTATCAAAATTGATATAATATAGTCTTACTTAAGAATGTACACTAACTTTTTTTTGCAGGGGGAGGGGAGTACTGGGACTGGACCTGCAGACTTGTGTATATTATGCAACCACCTGGCTACATTTAGTCTTTTGAAATTGAATTTTCTCTTGAGACAGCATCTCCCTAAGTTGCCTGCCTAGGCTCCACCTGCCTCAGCCTGCTGAGTAGCCAGGATTACAGGCATGAACCACATCTGGCAAGAAAGTACACTGCTTCTTTTTTGTTGTTGTTGGGGTTTTTGTTTTGTTTTGTTTTTTGACACAGGGTCTCACTATGTAGCTCAGGCTGGCCTCGACCTCACAGTGATCTTCCAGCCTCAGCCTCCTGAGTGCTGGGATTACAGGAGTGCACACCACCATGCCTGGCTCAGTACACTACTTCTTAAAGCAACTGGCAAAAAAAACGCAGGTACTTTTGAATCTGAGTAATGTCAGATGGTTTTCATTTCCTTTTGCCATTCATGGTATACCATAACTGAAAGCTATTAAAGGGCTATGAAGGCAAAGGCCTTGACGTATGTGTAAGTAAATGGCTATGCTCCACTGTAAATAAAATATAAACTTCTCATTATAAACTGTGAAGCCACATCCCACCTGCACCCTCACCCCAGTTACTTTCCTCCTTTTTTATTACACGTTGGCTACATTCTGTGCCTAAAAACACCGAACTTGCTCTCCATGGGGTCTGAAACACGGGCAATTTCGCACAGCAGCTACTTGCCATGAAGACCTTGGCTCAAAGTCACCTTTCCGACAGGACTTTCCTATCGCCTAAGTAGCTGACCCCAACCGACGTCGAATCCCCTCAGTAAAGGCCTTATTAGCTGTCTGTGCCCTTCCACTAGAAGGTGCGCTGGGTCGGGGGGGTGGGGACAACGACACCTCGCCACTTTATCACAGGGCCTGCAGTGGACAAGGCTGTCATCCCAAGGGGTCTCAGCAGGCACCTGGGTAAAGAAGGGGAGCCGTCCACCTGGCCCACGCCGCGACAGTGGCAGGCCCCACTCGCTCTGCAGCACTGACCTCCGTGAAGCACCTCTGGGCACCTCAGTCGAGATGCTAAGTCCGCCGTGGACTAGGCACACAGGGACCATGTCACGTTTGCCATCGGCCGCGGAAGGACCGGACCTCAAACTCACTGGCCCCGCGGTCGCGGCGGCTGCCCACGGGGCCGACTGCACCTCACGGGCGCAGGGTCTCCGTCTTTACAAAGCTGGTTCTGAGAACGGCTGAGAGGCAGGCTGAGGCCACAAGCCAGAGAAGACCGGGTGAGCGGCCGGCGCAGACCCTGCTCGACCCTGCCTGCCCCGCGCCCCCGGCCCCGGCTCCAAGCGCGGAACCCTATCCTGCGCCCACGACCCTCCCTGGGCATGGTCCCTCAGTCCTCGCTCCGCGAAGCTTCCCCTGCAGGGCCCCGGCCCTCCCCAGCCCCCGTTCCGAGATCCTCACCCAGTGGCTGCCCCGGTAGCTACAGCGAGACGTGGCCGAGCCAGGGGCGGGGCGCGGCGGTGCGACTGCCTCAGGTCCCCGGAAACAATCTGGGCGCGTGGCCTCCGTTCCGGAAGAGAAATTGTCTTCGTCTGCTCGCTAGAAACCACCCCCGCCCAGGGCCGATATCAAGTGCACCGAGACAGCCGCAAGGCGGACTTCAGAAAGTGACAGTAAGATTCTGTGGCCCTTTCCTTGGTAGAAGCAACTTCCACATTGACAGGACCAGCTCTGACAGGAAACCAGACAACCAAACTTCCGGCGGAAGTGGCGTGGCCCGGGCTTCTCTCCCCGGCCTCGCCCGCCCCAGCTGTCAGTCAGGTTGTGGGCGTGGCCCAACCCAATCCCCCTCTAGCGCCGGGCGTGGCTCGCAGGCGTCATCGCCACCCCTCCCTGAAACCCAGTCCTGCGCAGTCTGGGGTGCTCTCTTGCACTTTGCGCGGATTCTGAACTGTGGCTGTGTGGGGCCAGGGTCAGCCTGGATCCCGGTGCGGTGCTGCCCCAACAGTCTAAGGCTGAGGCAGGAGGAGCGCCGCAGGTTCGAAGCCAGCCTGGGATACATAGTGAGTTCAAAGCCAGCCTGATCTACATAGGGAAACCCTGTGTCAAAAAACCGAAAAACCAAAAACCAAACCAAACAAACAAACAAAACCAAACTGGCTTGCGTTTGAGAGCAATTTGGCGAGACCTTGTCTTAAAATAATGATGACGATAATAATGAGCTGGGTATGTAGCTCAGTGACGGTGCCTCTGGGTTGTAATTTCAGCATTCGTAGGCTTAGGCGGGAGGATCTTAAGATCCCAGAGTGAGCAACGTAGCAAGTTCAAGGTCACTCTGGGTATCCCAACCCCAAAGGTCAGCTTATTAGAGTACACAGAAGTGGGCTGCAGAGCATGGAGCAGGTGTGCTGTGGGGCTGGTTGTGCCACACCCCAAGCCCAGGTGCACTGTCCACAACTCTGAGTCCTTCCTGGGACCACACTGGCTCTCTCTGGTGGACCCATACGGGGGGTGGCTGCCCAGCCCCATGTATAAGTCTGCTTTAATTCCTTCCAGGATGTACTTTTCGGAGTAAAGATTCAGTTCATATCTAAGCATTTCACTTTCTTTGGAGCAACTGTAAATGGCTTGTGCCTTTGACTTCATAGTATCCACATGTTCACTATTCAACCACAGACAGAGCAATCCCGTGGGCTGATCTTGTACCCTACTGAGCTCACTTTTCGTTTCAAGTTTGGTTTGTTCATTTTGGTTTTTTTTTCCCCTTTAATTCCTTGGAATTTTCTACCTAAACTATTATGTAATGAACACATACAAAATTTAACTCAAAATGATCCAAGACTCAAGTGTAAAATTTATGACACTATTACAACTTTAAGGAAACAAAAAGAAAATTTTAGGGACCTGGAACTTCAGAAAAATTCTTAAGAGTTGGAAACTATAACCCACAGAAGGAAGAATAAACTAGATGCCATCAAAATTAAACACTCTTATCTGGGTTTGGTGGCGCACGCATGTCATCACAGCACTTGGGAGGCTGAGGCAGAATGACTGCCAATAGATCAAGATGAGCCTGGACTCCATAGTAAGTTCAGGAACAGCCTGGACTACATAGTGAGACCATGTCTGAAAGCAAACAAACAAAACTAAACACTTGTTCTGAGCAAGACCACACATTAAGGGGATGAAAAGACAAGCCATGGACTGTGAGAAAATATTTCCAAACCACATATTTAATAAACAAATATTACCTAGAACATATATAAACTCTCAAAACAGTGAAAAAACACAATTGCAGAACAGGCAGAATGGAGGGTAAATAAGCTTATAAAAGAGGTTCAAGGTCACTAGCAATGATATAAAATGAAATTAAACATGTTTACAGTACGTAATGTTTACATTCATCTTTTAGGGAGTAATGTGTCTTATTTTTACTTTCCTTTCCCTCCTGCCTCCCTCTTTAGAAAGTGGAGCCAGGAATACACTAGTGACCAGAGCAGAGTTTGGGTTGCGCTACCTCAAGCTTTGGTATTACGATTACCCTACCCTTATCCAAGGCACTATAGTTGGAGCTTAAATATGTGGATTATTACTTGGGACATTTTGTTTGCAGATGACAGAAACATAAGAAGCTTGAGTTAAAAGGGAAATTATTACATTCTAGTAGATGACTGGACTAGGATGCTATTGGGAAAGGGAGTCATTTATTCCTGGGCCACAGGAATAAATGACTAAAGAAGACCAAAATTTAAAAAAAAAAGAAAGTCAAATTAAAAGTACCTTGGGGACTGGGATATAACTCATCTTGAGCACTTGCCTACCATGGGAGAGGCCTTGGGTTAAAAAATCCCCAGCACAGGAAAAAATGAAGTGGCAGCACCCAATGCTGACAATGATACACGATTGTTCCTACCAACATTATTTGTAATAGCCTCAAAGTGGAACTAATCCAGATACGCTGCTCTGCTCCAGTGTAGGGATGTGTGCTGAAGGACCTTCCCAGAGCAATCATGACTGGTAAAGGGCAGGGTTTTCAAGTGGCTCCCATGCATCTGGTATTGAACTTGCTGTGGCCTACTGGTTGCCAGATTCTGTACAATCCTTGCTCTCCAAAATAGAAGGTAGATAAGAGGAAACAGGGAGATACCATAGATCTTTTGGAAATGGAAAAAAGGACAAAGATATGGGAAGGGGCATAAAACATTAAGATGTGTTAAAGTACATGTACCAACTCCCCATGATGAATGTAATTATTATATAATACAAACATATACTATATTTTTTAAAAAATCTCTGCTCTCAAGGAACTTACTTCCTGGTGGGGAACCAGTCAGCAAATACATAACCAGAGGTGATGAGCTGAGACAGAGGTGGCAGAGAGATGGGTGGGGAGGTGAGCTGTGATTTTAGAGATGGGATTTTGAGGGCAGTTGGGAGGCCACCAGAGCCACTCGCTAAGCAAAACTTGAAAACACTCAGTTCTTCCGAGTCTCTACGAGGAGAACTGGGGAGTGAAGATCTGGGAGTGAAGCCAGCAGGTGGGGAGAGAATATCCCCGGGAGGCTGTGCTGCACACAGGCTCAGCTAGCAAGGAGAAGCAGCTTCAAGAACACACAGAGGCTGCGGGACCTGGCGGGTGGCTGTATTCGGCAAGTGGGGGTTCCTGACATGGGCAGGAGGTGGCCCTGAGGGAAAGAGAGATCAAGGCCCCCTACTGGGTTCTGATGCAAGCCTTTGTGAAGGCTTGCTATTATCTGAGATGGCAGAGGCTGGGAAGTCCTGGAACATGTGGGTGTGGGCATGGGTTCCACTCTAGAGAGTTTCCTTTGGCAATGAAGTTTGAGGTGTTAAGAAAACAGAACACCTGCTGTGGGCAGCCACAGCAGAGTATGTCAAGGCTCAGGGCATTTGAGGATCTATGAGGACATGACCCTGCTGCCTAGCACAGGCACACAGCAGGATGCACTTATATAACCATGTCTTAGCACTAGACACTAGTGAAGCCAGCATACAAGAATGTAAATATGTGGTAAGTGTAAAACAATACAGACAGGTCGCTCTTGCTGTGTTCTGATGCCTGCTGTTGTTGATGTCTTGCATGCATACATTCTTTAATCTAGGGATCTCACCTGCAAAAATCTCCCTTTGGCCTCCTGGCCCCAGTACCTTACAGATACAGGTACCAGGCTGATGCAGGGGCAATAAACTAATCAGTAACTAGGAAGTGCCCAGCCCCAGTATTTATTTCTTGTTTTTTTGTTTGTTTTTTACTGGTACTAGGGATTGAAGTTGGGCTGAAGCATGCTAGGCAAGTGCTTAACCACTGAGCTACATCCCCAGCCCTTTCTGAGTCAGGGTCTTAATAAATTGCAACAGGATGGCCTCAAACTCATGATTCTCTCGGTCAGCCTCAGAAGTAGCTAGGATTATAGGAATTACTTTTGTTTTTAATATATTTAATTCTAAACTTCTATGGTTTTTAAAAGTAACGGCCATAGTACTGGCTCTCAGGAGGCAGCCCTTCCTGAGATCCCATCACACCAGCGGCTGCCTCCAACTGGTGGGTCTAGGAGCTGGTGCCCTCCTTCCATCCGGGCCTCTGTTCTCAGGGAGGTGAAACCTAGCTTTCCTATATAGTAGGACAGTATCCGAGAGAACTTTTTTCTTTTGGTGCTGGGTACTGAATCCAGGGCCTTTGTACAGATGCACATCCCTAGCTCTTTTTTGAGACAGCCTAAGTTGCTCAGGCTGGGGTTAAAGTTGAGATCTTCTTGCCTCAGCCTCACAGAGTGCTGGAATTGCAGGTATATGCTGAGAATAACTACAATGCATGCCAAAACTAGAGATGCGGTAAAGAAGGCAGAGAGGATGGTCTCAGGGACAGTGTGCGTCACACTTGATATCTGAACTACTCTAGACTTTCCAAATCCAGTAAGTTTCTCCATTTTTTCTTGCCCCAGATAATTCAGGTTCCCACTGGCAGGCTCCTGGTGAACTAATTTGTGGCCTGGTGGCAATTTCTGGGCCTCTTCACTAAGCTTGGCTGCAGGCTACATTAGGGCCAGCTTTCCTTGTCACTTTCCTGGGTAGTCACACCACAGCAAGGGCTGGGCTTTCACCAGGGATCCCTCAGTTGGCAGAAGCCCGCTGATGTCCAGCTGCCATCCCATACCCGAGTCGTCTGTCCCTCTCAGAACTAGGTCTACTCATTCCAACCTGCTAGCATTCAGGTAACCAAGGTGATTTAAACCTGCTTCCACCAGCCCTTCATATGGCCTCAGTGGAGGGCTGGTCTGATTCCCTCATCCTTCTTTTAAGCAGATTTTCCTGAACGCAGTAAGTTCTCCCTGGGGTTGACCTGACTGCCCTAGACCCTGAATGTTCTTCCCAGTAGGCAGGATGGCAGGTGAGCAGGGCTGACCAGTATGGACAGGGTACCCGGAGATGAAGTGCCTTTGCCACATCAGGGTGTGCAGGGGAGTTGTGGGCAGCCATGGGCTGAGCTGCCTCTCCCAGGGCTGGGCTCAGAACTACACTGAAACACATGGGGCAGGGCTGCTGCCCAGTTGCCCAAAGAGCAAGAGCACCCCCAGGGGGCAATGGGGCCATAAGCCAGCTGCAGATGATGAGTTTTGTGGGTGGGGTGAGAGGGTCTTAAAAGTCTAGAAAATCATAAAAACCCTGCACGAGTCCTACCCACCTGTAGCTTGGGTCACTGCTGGGGAACAATGGCCTCAGCCCGAGTCTCTTGGACAAAGCCAGTGAGGCCTGAGGAAAGGTGCAGTTCCTCCTACCACAGGCATGAGGTGCTGTATCCTCTGTGGGTCTGGCTCTGAAGAGGGCAAGGAGAGGGAGTGAGTGCTGGGCGTCTCTCAAAGGCACAGACACATGGCGGACCTGCCTTTCTGGCTCAAGTCGGACACCTGCCCTGGACAAACTGGCTGTGGCTTCTCAGAGTGGTGGAGTGAAAGCCCCTGAGCCACTGTCACCAATGCTCAGCCTTCTAGCTGCAGAGCTGGCACCCCCAATATGGTCAGACAGCGAGGTGCCAGCAGAGGTGGCATGAGGAGGGAGCAGTGGTGCATCTTCTGAGGCGCTCGTGTCACAAACCCAACAAAGAGGAGAGAAACAAACACGGCGTGTTTATTAGAACTGAAAGAGGGACTGTGCACCCACAGACAGAGTGCTGCCTCTCAGTGGGTATCAAGAGCAAGATAACAACTGAAAAGTGTATTCCTGAGAAGAAGCAAAAAAGTTACCAGTTTGCAAACAAACGTAACAGGTGATTTCAACAAAAAAATAAAACTTCTTTTAAAAACAAAAACAAAATTTCAAGTATTATTCCAGATGACATGGCAAACCTAATGTAGGAGGGGAGGGCTCCGGCAGCAAAGACCCACTGCCCACTCCTGCTCTGCAGGCCTGGCAGGGGGCTGGAGCCAGCCTCATCCTGCTCCACAACAGCCTGTGGCCAGCCTAGTGCTGGAGATGGCAGTGACACAACTCACCCGCATCAGTGAGGAGCCGTTAACTTGTCATCCATGTCCAGAGTTAGCAGTATGGGACATTTGATCATTTTTTTAATAATCAGAAACCTTCCAAATATACTATCCCCAATTTAGTCAATTTGCAAATTATAAATATTACTTGTGCTACCGTTTGTAATATTTATATCTTATTAGAAGATAAGCACCAAACCTATTAAAAAATATATAAAAGGCTGTGGTTTGTTCAACAGCAGAGTATTCTGTACACCCTGTATGCTGTAAACTTATGCTCCCTTTCCCTAACAAAGCGCTTCTGACACACTTTCCCATTTCTCCCATGAAACTTTTCCTGAAAAGAGATTTCCATTTTAACTGCAGTTATGGAAAAGGGACAAAAAGAGCAAACTGCAATGTCACCACTTGTGGAGGGTGGGTACAACTGTCAGTCCGGCAGGAGGCCTGAGTGTGGTCTCAGCCACCTGTGCTCAGCAGGAAGTTGGTGCTGCCACCCCGTCCTGCAGGCCACCTGAGTCTCACACTCAAGTGAAAGCCCCACGGCAGGAGAGCCCAGCCAGCGTTTGCTGGGCTGGTAAAAACACCCTCGGAGGTCTGTATTCGGTACTCCAGCATGCAGTGCCTTGCCTCCAAGGCTTGTGCTGTCTGCTTCCCTGCTTCAGTTCTTGAACCTTGTTTGCTCACAGATGTGATTAAATTTCCTGCAGGGAGAAAAGGAGCAAATCACAAGAAAGCACCACAAAAATATTCAATTAAATGAGATTTACAATTGCTTCTCAGAACAGCCACATAAAAATTGTATGTGTGCATGGACTCACAGCAGTATATTTTTAATAACATCAAAGAAATGAAGACCCCAAGGTAACCTTGTTTTTCCTGTTTTAAATTTTAAAACAGAAGTGACAACATCTACAACAGATGTCCTAGAGAACAGAGTAAGAATTGTACTTCCTTAGAGTTTGTCTGAGGGACTGCATGTTACCTCGTAGATGACACAAGAGGTGACCGTGGCTACCCACCCCCTACTGTGGCCACTGACAGAGGAAGATGGGTAGTGCCTCGTATCTACACTCCTATTTTTATTTAGGAAGGTAGTTACTGGTGAAACCTCTGCTCTGAAAATAAAACCATCTCTTCCACATGCTGGTTATGCTCAAAGACAGTGCAAAGGTTTTTGTTTTTTGAGACAGGCCTTTTAGGCTGGTTTTGAACTCACTATGTATCCCAGGCTGGCCTCAAAATCACAGCAATCCTCCTGCCTCAGCATCTCGAGTGCTGGGATTACAGGTGTGCACTACCACATCCGATTTAATGCAAAGTTTTTATTCCACAAAACCACTCCTTGGAAGGTGTCACCATCACCTGAGTCCTCATATCTCATACTGCACACACTGGCTCAATTACTTTAATTTGAACAAAAAATGCCTATTTGGAGATATATAGGCTAAGTAACTGATAGTGTTTATCTCAACTATTTAAAAATGAGGGTAGAGCAATTACTCTTGAGCTCTGGTCTCTCAAGGCAATGCAGGTGTTGTTGCTATGAACATTCTTTAAAGACCACAATGAAGAGGCCACAAGTGTGGTGACCAAGTTATGGTGATTGCAAATGCCCACTCACAATAATGGAAGAAAAAGTAATGGAAAAAAAATCCAGCCGTCCGAGCATTATGCCAGTGGGCCTGTGGCTTGGGATGGACATTCTCGGTGGCCACAGCCACCGACCCAGGAAGTGCTAAGGCTCAACAGTTAGCTGAGCTCCAGGAACTGTCTGACGAGGGGTAAAGTAATTTTAGCCATGAAAACACAGAGGTGGAGGACAAGAGGTGAGCATGTGCGTATAAACACTTTAGGAAATGAGTAACAAAAGAGGAGCAGCTATTTCACATGCTCCGTGACTTTACAGATGCACAGTGACTAACCACACATAGCATATCTACATGTCTATGAATGTATATTTATGTGTGCATATATATAAATTTTTGGTAGTTCTGTGTATGGAACTCAGGGCCTGCCACATGCCAAGTATGCACTCTGCCACTGAACTCCATTTCAGCCACAAATCCATGTTTTTCAGCAGACAGGTAACTCCTGTGCCACCTTCTGAGCCCCAGCCTCACTCACATCGCATGGTGGGCCTTCACCTGAGTGCGGCAGTTACGGCCCCAGTAGCAATCAGGACGGGATGTCACAGCCACTAGAAGAGAAGAAAGTACAGATCTACATTAGGGACGTCACATACACCCACCCAACTAGCTGAATTAGAAAAGAATTGTGAATGTAAAGTACCTAGTCCCTCTTTGGGACTAGTTTCCTTGGACTTCCAGGATCTCAGGAAAGGACAAAAGACATTAAATGAAAACCAAATTTAGGAGATGAAATTAATCCAGCAGTCTATCAATGTCTTCATGTTATCTCTGCTTTAGAACTCCACCTGCCCTGACTGGTAGTATCATAGCCAGTCCCTGAGGCAAACGTGGCCTCCCGCAGCCTGTGTACTTGTCTTCTCCCTGGCTGGTGCAGACTTCTAATAAGGTGCTGGAGACAGTACCAATACTGACACTGAGCGGCTATTAAAAGGTGGGTAGAAGACTGGGGATGTAGCTCAGAGTAAAGTGCTTGTCTTGCAAAGCCCTGGGTTTCATCCCTCACATGGAAAAAAAAAAAAAAAAAACCTAAAACAAAAAGCCAGTAGAGAAGCCAAGGCAGATGGAACTGGAGCTTGTGGGGCTCCTCACCTGGCAATTCGGAAGCAGGAATGTTCTGCCGGTACTGGTAGGTCAGCTCTCGGAAGCTGCGCAGGCCGCAGCAGTAGCACAACACTGTGTTTCCAGTGACTCTGTAATCTGCAGAGAACATACATCAATGTAGGCATGGCCAGTAACAGTGTGGTGTCATATTCTAGACAGCTGAAAAGACACTGCACTCAAACCAGTGGGAACTAATGTATTGATCTGTACATGAGATAGAAACAACGGGCTTGACATTTGGAAAACAACAGCCAAACCATCTAGATATCAACTCACTTTCATTTAGCAAAATAACCCCACACATATAGACCCTGTCTCAAAAAACAAACAATTCCAAAAAGCACTAAGGAGAAAACTGGAGTATTATTTTCTCCTCAACTACTCATAAGTACAGGTTGAATATTCCTTATCTGAAATGGTTGGGATCAAAGGTATTTCAGATTTTTTCTGATTTTTGAAAATCTACATGATGGAATATCTCAGGGGTAGAACCCAGCTCTAAAGAGGAAATTCACTTATGTTTCAAATATCTTATAGCTTTCAAGAAGGTAGGTAGGTGGGTAAAAAGGTGGGCTAGTTGGCCATGAATGTATGTATGAACCGATACTGGGGATTGACCAGGGCCTTTTAACTGAACTACATCCTCAGGCTTTTTATTTTTTATTTTGTGATGGTGTCTAGCTAAATTGTCCAGGCTGGGATCCAACTTTCAATCCTCCTGCTCAGCCTCCCAAGTAGCTGGGCTGACAGAAATGCACCACAGCTCTTGGCCTGAAAGTAGTTTTAGGCAGTATTTTCAGGGAATCTGTGTTTTTAACAATGACCATCATAGGAGGGTAAGGATGGAATTTTCCTCTTGTGATGCTGATCATGTCAGCATCAATCAAAAAGTTTTGGATTTTAGCCAGGCATGGTGGTATACTGAGCAGGAGGATTCCAAGGATCAGACTAGCCTAGGTAAACTAGCAAGGTTTTTTTTTTTTTTTTAAAAAAAAGGTCTAGGGATATAGCTCAGTGGTAGAATGCCCTATGTTCAATCCCTAGTACCACATGTACACGCATCTATACGCACACATATAGACACACACACAAATACACACAAGCAGGAAGTTCTGGATTTGACAGCTTTTCAGATTAGGAATGCTCAACCTACATAAAATGAAAACTATTGAATAACATATAGGAAAGAATTAACAAATTTAGACATCAAAGTGGAAATATAAATGACAAATGTGAAATATTAATGATACAGTGGAAACATTTGCAGTAAAAATGACATTATATACTAAATTAACAAAGATACTACATAAATCCATACCAAAATAAAATCGCCCAAACAATATAAAGTAGGCCAAGATCACAGGTAAGCAAAAGCCATGTAAATGAAGAAAAGATTTTCAATTTGGCTATTATAAACATGGGCAAATAAACAATGATAGGTATGGTCTCTCACATCTGCATCAGCTGTCAGGCTGGGGATGCTGCCTGTGCACCCCACAGCACCATGCAGCCTGCACAGCTTGGAGGACAATGTGACAAAGTCTACACTGTGTGCATACTTCCCTACAAACTCCACTGATTTACTGTAAGGTAGATTTTTTTTTTCAGTACTGGAGATTGAACCCAGGGCTGATGCATTGAGCTACATCACCAGCCTTTTTATTCTGAGATAAAAGCTTTGTGCAGTGGCAGTATTGCAGTCAGTGGGGTTTATCTGAAGCACGATTATTGCTAACTGAAAACTATTTTGAGATAAAGTCTCAGACAGTTGCCTAGACTGGGCTGGAACTTGCAATCCTCTTGCCTCAGCCTCCTAGAATACTAGAATTACAAGTGTGTGTCACCATAGCTGGCTTAAGGTGACAATTTCTCAAGTCTACTGTATCATATGCTCAAAAATTGTGATCATTTAAAATAGTGGAAAACTAGAAACAATTTATATGTCCTTTATTAACAAATTAGAAACAAGCTTGATATTAGAATACTATGTAATAATAAAGAATCAAGGTAGGGCTGGGGATGTAGCTCAGTGATAAGGTGCCTGCTTACATGCATAAGGCCCTGGGTTTGAAAGCTGGTGCTCAAAAAAACAAAGAAAAACCCAGAAATCAAGGTATGTAGACCTTTCTTGGCAGAAATGGGGATATAACACACTGCCAAGTGGAAACTAGGTACAAAGAACACCTATAGTAAAGTGGAATTGGTGAAGTTATCCGCAGACAGGAACATGTGCTTGGAAGGCCCTGGAAAGGCAGTTTACAGACATCATTCCAGAGTGTCTCTCTTTGTTTGCTTTTCAGTGCTGGGGATCTAACTCAAGACCTCAAACATGCCAGGCAAGTGCTCCACCACCGGCTTCCCCTAGCCCACTTGCAAGGGTTTTGAGTGGTGGGATTTCCAATGAGTTTTACTTTAACCTTTGTACTTCCTAGATCACTGGTATTCTCTGTAAGCCACTATTGTTCTTACAAAAATAAGAAACCATTAAAAAGTGAAAGTTAAAGTACCTGGTAGAGGTGGCAGCCACAGATGACACACTCATTGGAATGAGACCATGAGATAAAAATAACTCAAGGGGTTTTAAGAGGAAATCTTTCTTTTTTTGTGGGGAAGAGGGTTTCAGATGGGTCTATGTTGTCCAGGCAGATCTTAAACTCACTATAGAGCCCCGAATGACCTTGAACTTGTGGTGATCCTGCCTCAGCCTTCTGAGTGCTAAAACTACAGGTGTGAGCCACTGTGCCCAGTCTAAGCAAAGCTCTTAAGTCTTTGTATCATACTTTTGTCTTAGGAAAGAACTGCTGGTTAATATTTCTGCAGCTTGGCTGAGTGGCAAAGACCACATCCAAGCAAGGCATATGAACTACCTGGGAGAGGGAGCAACCTCCACTGTGTGACGAACAACCAGCAACAGCAAACGGGCAACCAAGAATAACCAGCCTAGGACCTCAGTGTGGGGGAGGTGGAGTCGCCAAAGCTGTACCTCCATTCTCCCTATACAGAGAAGGTACTAGAATATATCATAGAGGTTACACCCAAGGTTTTAAAAACTCCAAATACCAAGGCCTTTCTTGTCCTCTGCTGGGTGGGCAGAGGTTAAAATCATAAATATAGAAAAGAGCAGACAGGTAACACTGCCCAGGTATAATGCCCTGCTGGGGTTTCAGGATACAAAGGGTGCCTTAGAAACACATGTCCACTCTAGAGATAGTGAGACAAGGGAAAACAGCTTACCAGACAGTAAAAACACTCCCCGCTGCAGAGCCACGAGACTTTCTGTCAACATGTTTTTCCACGTCAGACCCCTGGTTGCCAGGTAATTCTGTTGACAGGGGAAAAAAAGGGTACTAAGAAAAAATACCAGAGAAGAGGGAGAAACACTAAAATGACAAGAGGGGGAAAACCCACAAAGGTCTCTGTGAGTGGCTGAAGGCAAAGCACAGGCAGCCACAGGCAGCAAAGCACAGGGCCACAGTGAAGCTCTGGGGTCAGTGCATCCCAGCTGGCTCCGAAATTTCTTGTTTCTGAGTCTCAACGAAGTGGGCTGACCTTTGACCCTGTGCCATATTCTCTGAAAAATCCTGCAAAAGCGTTCATAGCACAGGAGCAATGGAGAAGCCACACCTGGTTTGGAGCCTCAAAGTTCCAAGACAAGCAAGGCTGAAAACCTGGCATCTACTCTTCCCACCCTTCAGAAACAAGGGGCTACGAGCTCCTTTTGTAGGTTCAGCTCTTCTAAGAAACTCTTACTGGGAGCTGCAGGAACTAATTCCTACTGATTCATGACATGACGGAAATACCTACTTTTGGAACTTGGGGGAAAATAGAGATATACTAATGCAGGGGTGGTGAACCTATGGCACATATGCCGCAGCAGACTGTAGCATTGAGAGCTCTAAAAGGTTTGCCATCATTGTACTAGTGAAATGCAGAGGACCAACTGCACTATGCACAAAGGAAAGCACAGAGTCCTATCACGGGGCAGAAGTCCCTCGGGTCTCCAGGTTTCCACTTCACCCAGCGGAGGAATCTGGAACACTACCTTCAGAATGTCTGACTCATAGTTGTTGTTGTTCAGCACTCCATCCAGACACTTGTCCCCCAGGTTGAGCTCTGCCAGAGGAAGGAAGCAATGTTTTGTTTTATAAAGGTGAAACTTTATCATATCAAAATACTGTTTACTGGAGAGGATAACCAAACTTTTTTCCATTATCGATTGTGGAGAGAATAAGTCCCACGGTAAAACACAATTTAAAATAGAGAACAAAGCTGGGGGTGGTGGCTCATGCCTATAATCCCAGCACTTGAGAGGCTGAGGCAGAAGGATCACTGCAGGTTTGAGTCCAGCCTGGATTACATAGTGAGTTCATGGCCAGCCTGAATTACATAGTAAGACCATAGCAGACTGTATCAAAAGGCAAAACAAAACAAAACAAGAAAAGAAAAACCCAAAAAAATAAAATAGAGAAAAAGTAAAAAGGATTTCCATCTCTCACCCTTCTTAAAATGGTAAGATTACCAGGTATCATTAGCACCTGGTCTGGGGTCAAAAATCTGAATCCCAGAGCAAGACTTGTTCTTGTAGCAGTCTTTTGAGTGCAGAAATAAACTTTCTTGTACTAGAACCTAACTGTCCTGTCTTTGCTTGACTGTAAGCTAACATGAACTCAATGCTCCAATGGCAAACCTCTGCAATTCAATAGGAAAAGGTATGGGGTGACTAGGAATGGCCTTCTCATTTCCCACAGCAGATCACCCAGACACCAGCATTACCTGCCCTGCCCTTAAATTAACAAGGGAACATGCAAAGGTCAGAGCAACTCAGGGATGAAAAGGCAGAATTACCACAGAACGGGGCGAGGCAGCCGGAGCAGCCGGTCCGGGTACAGCCCCAGTACAGGTGGCAGAAGGGCTGCAGACAAGCTGCACCTGTGGACAGAGCTCTGTTTCAAGGCTAAGAACTGTAGATTAAAGGCATCCTATCTCCACTACTAGCTTTTACGAGTGACATGCCATACACAGTTGAGGACTGATGCAGAGATGGTATAGATTCAGACTCTGGAGGAGACCCACCCACATCCATGGGCAATGGTTCCACATAAGGCAGCATTACCATTGGTGGAAAAGACCAACAGTTCAACTTCTCATGTGGGACCAACAGATTACGCAGATGAAAGCAAGCAGTGCATTTTCGCTGCACAGCCTACACAAAGCTGAAAGCTACCTGACACTGAGCCCTGGAGGATACAGCATCATCAGAGTTCACTCACACTGCTGGGGTGGGACACGGGGATCCTGTTCGCGCTCTGCTCTCCGGTCAGGCATGGGCTGGAAGCAGCAGGTGCATATGGCGTGGTTTCCTTGCACAGGGCACACGTAGTCCTGGGCTGCTGAAGACATGCACGTTTGGGACAGAGTGTGTGCAACGCCAGGCAGAAAGACATGTGGTAAGAGATTTACATCTAGGGAAGCAGTACGTACAGACGAGGAGAGCCAGGCCCCGAGAGAGGCCCCGAGAGGATCCAGATTCGTTCCTAAACAGGCAAATTTTATTCTGCTATTTAAACAGAGAGCTCACAAGATGGAATATAACCAAAAACTGGGGGCTGGGAGTGCAGCTCAGTGGTACAGTGCTCGTTTGGGATATGTGGGTTTAGTCCCTAGTACTGCAAAAAATAAAAAGAACCAAAAATTACCCTTTAGTTCAGTGCTTGTAACAAGAGTTCAAAGATTAGTCAAAGATTTTCTACTCTTTCCTATGAAGACAGGACAGGCCCATAAAGCACATATTATAAAACAATAAAATGAGTTGTATATTTAATTTCTGCTGAGGCAAAAGAACAACTATATCCTTCCAATAAACAAAGGACAGGCATGGCAGGGAAGACTGATCTGACACAGGGAACATCCACATGGCATGCTCCTTGGACAGACCATTGGGAGGTGACCATTTTGACTACCACAACACACCGCTCTGGGTCACTGAGCACCCATGGGGACTCAACCTCTCTCTGTGCATGACACGTATTCCCAATTAGTAATGTGATGGCTCTAAAAGGAGATGCTGTTGGCTCCCCATTATGCAGAGGAAGGAACTTCTGAGTGGCAAAGTCAGGGCCGTGGCTGAGATCCAATGCCTGTAGCTGAGCACTGCCTTGCTTGTCTTGTCCACAGATTCTACAGACCACCTAGAAAACTGAAGCAGTGTCCCTGACCAACCATGACCAAAAGGCCAGAGCCCACTGAGCCATCTTTCCATTCTGTAGGGACCAAAGAATGGCCAAAAGGATGGGCCAAGAACTATGATGGCACATGCCCCCAACCAGCTCTCCTCTTTTTCTGCGGGGGGCGGTGGGCGGTGCTGGGGATAAAATCCAAGGCTTTGCACATGCTCAGCCATACCCAGGCCCTCCCTCACTTTTCTTGGTAGCATCTGGAGACCCATCTGCCAGAAAACAGATAACTAAGTGGAGACTGACAGGTTCTGGGGTTTTAGCAGTCACTGTGGGACACAGCCAGTCTCCTATACAAGGGACAGACATGTGATCAGCAGTTCGATTTTGGCAAACTGCACTGGGGGACATGAGCTGCTCCATACCAGTAGACTGGGTTGAATCTAAATGTTCAAATCAGGACAGTTAGCTCTCAGGTATGGCTGGCAGGGAAGACCCACAAATAGTTAACTGATCCAATTTCTTACCAACACTGATTACAAAAAGCAAGAGGCTATAAGAGACAGTGGGGTGCTGGAAGCAAGGGAGGTATGGGATGGTATAGGAGGGCAACACACAGTACAGGAAACCAGAACAATCTGAGCTCCAACACAGATGCAAAGAACAAGCCCGTGGTGAGCTGCTGCCTCTCACCTGTGGTGAAGCTGGTGGAGGTGGACGGCGCATCCCCCTCAAGGCCCTGTGGGGCCCCTAGTGCGCTGTCTGGTGCTGGGCAGGGAAGAGGTTGTACCGCTTGCCTTCTGTACTCAGGACACTGTCTGCACACGATGTAAGGCTGGCTGCAGGAAGAGCACGAGGAGAGCTAGGGCCACAGAGAAGCAGGCCAAGCACCAATTCCAGATAGGGTAGCAGCATCACATGGCTCCTGGGCAGCAGTTTCCCCTCACTGGGGCTCAGCTCTACCCTGCTCAGCCACATTGCCACCTGGTATGTGGAGAGGAAGCAGCCACTCCTCCTGGCCCAGCCTCTGCTGTTCGTGTGGGCATTGCCTGGAACCACATGCAACAGGAGCTTGAGGTTGAAGACCACGGCCACCACACACTGGCTGCTCCATTTCTCACTCCACAGCAGCTCATGGAGTTTCTCAGTCTCTGCTCACCATGAATGGGACAATGGGATCCCAGCTCTGAGGCTGAGAGGAGACCCACATCAAGGCACTGCTGGTTTACCTAGGACATGCACATCCTTCCCTTATCAAACACACAATTCCCAAGGCCAGCAAGAGCCCATAGTGCTCATCTGCATGGTCCCTCACTGACCTAAGTCACTTGTTATCCACAGAACAAGCACATAAGAGTCTCATCTATCAGAATCTGCCTTTCCAAGCTCAAACCAATGATCAGAAACAATGACAGAAAGGGTAAGATCTGATAAAAAAAAAAAATGAAAACACAGTGAAAGGGATGAACAATTCCATTTGTAAAGAAAAAGGCAAATGAAAAAGTTATCTCCTTTTTCTCCCACTAAACTGGCAAAGGGAACTGCTTGTATATTCCTTGTACACTGGTGTCAGTGTGACTTTTCTTTTCTTTTTTGTACCAGGAATCAAACTCATGACTTCACACTTGTCAGGCAGGCGCTATGCTGCTGAGCTATGTCCCTGGCCCAGTGTGACTTTTCTGACGGGCAACTGGGTAACTCACATACCAAAGTCCAATGAGGTGTAATCCCCAGGCCCACTCTTTTAACTCAATTGTTTCATGACTATATATTTCTCTTAGTTAAAAGCTGGTCATCTAGTATAAATTTAAGCATAAGGACATACCCTGTAGCACTGTTTCCAGATGTAAAACGCTGGGAAATCTCAGCATCCTGAGTGCAATACAATCCTATCTCTTTAAGAATACCTATTGGAATACTACATTTTATTTTGTTGAAAAACATGCAAATGAGCCAGGCATGGTGGCACATGCCTGTAATCACAGCATTCAGGAGGCTGAGGTAGGAGGATCACTGCAAGTTGAAGGCTAGCCTGGGCTACATAGAGAAACTCTGTCTCAAAAAAAAAACCAAAACCCATGCATGTATAGATATATATATGAGTGATCAACTGATGGATATAATGATATATATATTTTATATATGGCTCAGTGGTACAGGCTTGCTTAGCATGTGCAAGGCCCCAGATTCCACTATCAGCACTGCAAAAATGTTTTTAAAAATTAAAAAAGGAAAAAGAAAAAAACATTGCCACTAAAGCATTTTTGGCTTTCTCCTTTTTCTTGATCATCACCACGGAATTTTTCAAAGAATAATAAAATTTGGGGTTTTTTTTGGTATCGTTTTAATTACCATACTCTTGGCCCAAAATGCAAGTCTTGGACTTCAGAGCTAAAAAACATCAGTGTCAACAACAACAACAACAAAAAACAAAACATCAGTATGTCAGCAGGTAAAACAAGGTCTTGCTGTGTCCTCTTAGCCAAGGAATTAAGGCTTTTCTATGATGCTGCTCTGTAAATGTTAACACTGTCATTTATGGAGTACTTTGTGGTCACTAAACAAACTACAAGGGATAAGTGTACTTGCATGGGGAAAAATAAATCATGACCCTCTGACATAGCAATTACTCAAGTCCCACTATGTAGAGTCTGAGTAATTTGGGGGTGAAGGAGGTTTTGGGACCCACTATGGCTACCTGGGGGTTCACACCATGTTCTTAGCTACTCTAGAGAACAACAGGTCTTGGCTATGCCTCACTGCCAGAAAACAAGCAGAAACCATTAAGGAACATGGCTGTTAAGGCCAGGCTAAGGTCACAGCTAACTCTTAATCACACTACAGACCACACTTCTAGTTCCCATATCCTACGCTGAGCCAGCACAGAATTTACCTTATGTCTGAGGATTCGCTGTCAACATCTGACAGCACCAGCAGGTCATCTGAACTCCCTTCCTCATCAGAAAAAGACCTCCTGACTTTGGGCTGCAGCATGTCTTGAGTGATTTTATTCCTGGCATCCAAACTGCGCACATCTTCTTCGCTGCGACTCTTGTCTAGATTCAAAAGACACACAGTATTCGCTGGGAGTGGAAAATGACCAGGGAGATACAACTAGGCTGCTCAGAACTTCACTCACACCCCAGCCCCTAAAGAGGGATTGGGTGGCCAACCCACTTGCCTGGGTGCTGGATGAGGTATGCTTCCACGAGGTTGTTGAGGATGTGGTTTTTACAGATCCTCTCCACTGGACAGCGGCATGTGGGGCACAGGGATGAGCGTTCCATCCAGCCAGAGTAGCAGGCTGCACAGAATGTGTGCATACAAGGCTGCAAACTGGAGGAACAAGAAGGACACTTTTCCAGACACAGCCCCCTAGGACTTGCCCAGGATCCTGGGACCAGATCTACCGCAGACCCTCCACTAGAAGGGCAAGCTGGAACCAAATCATGGCCAACCATGGGTTTCTGTACTGCCTAACCTAAAACAGTTCAGCTCAGTCTTGGCTGATAAAAAGCTAAGCCCACATGGTCTCTGGCTTTAAAAGTGAGTCAGGAGAGCAAGACAGTGACCTCAGGAACACAAACAACAGAGAAAATGAGTGCTTCAGGCTGAAACTTGGGGAGGTTCCATCACCCAAGTTCTCACACAAAAGCAAGGAGAAAGGTCTTCTGAAGCTACATCTGAGACAGTCATTTGATGACAAATACTATGTTTCTTTAACCAGGGAACATTTAAGACGTGGTACAGTTTGATCTGTCTGTAAGGCAATGGCCAGGTTTGCGGAGTTACCCATGACTCCTATCAGTCAAAACTAATGCTGACCAGAGCCCTGAGGGTTCTATACCTTTGGTCTCCAAACTCCAGGGTTTCTCCTTGTTGACCATGTGAGTAAAATGAAAACGGAAACCTCCATAGCCCCGGGCCAATGAGGACCAAGAGCTGGCTTCACCCACTCCTCCTCCTCCCACAGGTCAAGGGTCACACAGACTCAGGCCTCCCCAGGAGGCAGTCTGCGGCGCAGGGCAGTGTACCTCACACAGTCGTGCAGCAGATCCTGGCAGATGATGCACGTGAGTGTCTCTGCCATCTTGTCTGGCTTCATGGTGGCTGCTCTGGTGTCATGAGTGGCCTGGGCGTTTCTACACTGGTCTGTAACCACCACTGGCAAGTTTATATCCAGCTCCCCATCTACAAGAGAAAGGGATGAGTTCTGACTGCCACAGCAAAAACGGACATCAACGTACAGCCTTTCTGTTTAAGGAACACCTCAACCTGTGGACTGTCTGCCAGCAGCAGCAGACACACAGTCATTGCCATGGTTGGCATTTATATGGGCTATTTTTAAGAAAGCCCAAACAAGTTTTATATTCTGTTATGTCTAAATCCTGTTTTAGAATAAAAAACTGGATACAGTGGCACACACCTATAGTCCCAGCTATTTGGCATGGTTGGGAGAGTAAAGTAGGATTTTTGTTTGTTTGTTTGTTTTTGTTTAAACTTCCTATGTACCCTGGGATGGCCTCAAACTTAAGATTCTCCTGCCTAGCCTCCCAAGTGCTGAGGTGATAAGAGTGCACCAACATATCTGGCTAGGAGGATCATAAAGTTTAGCTGTTAAACAATGTTTGTGTAAATGCCATTTTAATTGAAACAAACAAACATGGCTCTTGTGCATACAGAAATATGATGGAAACCAGAAATTCTAACATAGCACCAGAAGCTTTTTTTCTTGTTTTTTTTTTTTTTTTTTTTTTTTTTTAGACAGGGTTTTGCTATGTACCCCAGGTTGGCCTTTAACTTAAAGAGAAATCCTCCTGGAGCTGGGGATTTAGCTCAGCGGCAAAAGCGCCTGCCTGGCAAGCGCAAGGTCGTGAGTTCGGTTCCCGGTACCGGAGAAAAACCAAAAAAAAAAAAAGAGAAATCCTCCTGCCTCAGCCTCTCAGAGTGCAGATTACAGGCATGTGCCACTGGCACCAGAAGCTTTGGAATGTTCTTTCTCCTGCTTTTATACACTATTGGGAATTGAATCCATTCCTTCACATAAGCTACAACCCTAACCCTTTTTAGTCTGAGACTAGGTATCGGTAAGTTGCTAAATTATCCATGTTTGGCTCAAACTTCTCATCTTCCTGCTCAGCCTCCCAGAGTGCTGGGATTACAGGTGTGTGCCTGGCTTCCTGTGTTTTTATGTTCTATTCATTCATGTGTATGTCATCAAAGATCAATTTTATGGGCAGTGCTGAGAACTGAACCCAGGGCCTTGCACCTGTGGGACAAGTACTTTGCTGCTGAGCTCCAACCCAATCCATTTTAATTAAATACAGAGTTGGCTACAGTGGTGAACACCTATAATCTCAGCACTCTGAGAAGCTGAAGCAGATCACAAGTTTGAGGCAACTCTGGGCAATTAGTAATTAGAGACCCTGATTTTAAAAAGAAAATTTTAAAAGGGTAAAAGATTAAGTTTTCTAGAAATAATGTAGTAAGGTTTTCTCACAAAAGATGCTCTTGGTACATAACTAAATTAAGAAACAAAGGTTTTTCATATGGGTGTGACAATTCATGGTTAATCTCGCACTGTATTAAATGTATTCGTGCCTTCTAGGTATATTGTCTTCTATAATGTAAAGCTGGGTTTAATGGTGAAAGACCTTTTCCTTCAGATTCAGACATTTGTCTTTCTTTTGTGCTCCGATTAATTGTGATAGGAGATTCAGGTCAAGCCAATATGAGGTCACCAGTCAGTAATAATAACAAAAACTCATGTGACCTATATGCTTATATATATGCCGCAATAGAGATGCCTAGACATTAAGTGGTCCAGACGCTGTCACAGATTTCTTCAGTGACATCCCATTAAAGGGCAACGAGTTAGATAAAAGCTTCTTATGTATTAGGTAGCGATGACTGATTTAAAGAGCTATTATGTCAAAATGGAAATTTAAGTATGTCACAAAAATGTCATGATTGTCATGCTGCAATATTATGTATGGTTTTGATTTTAAAACAATAAAATAAAAAGGCTAAGAATATAGCTCAGTGCAAAGATCCTTGGTTCAATTGTCAGTTCTGAAGAGAAAAACACTTGCACACAATTTAAAGTCATATATGAGGTATGACTGAAATATACAGTGAGTGTTTAAAAGGGGAATTTGTTACAGTAAAAGACACATTTGCCATTATTTCCCCTCAGAGTACTCCCTCTTCCTTTGAACTCACTTATCTTATTATTGGTGTCACTTTCTGAAGCAGTTCTGCAAGTCCTCTTTCCTGAGTGTCTTTATCAGGTGTGATAAAAAAAATATGGTGAATGCTGCGGCTGGATGCCATCTGACAGAAAAGCAGCCTCATAAAAACATGGCAATGTGTCCTCATACTCCTTAGAGTCTGGCTTTTCCCCAAAGTCAAAATGACCATGAAAGGGTAAATATTTTTAATTAATTCAGGATGTTGAGGCAACCCAAACAGTGTAACTGAAGACACTCAGGAGAGAGGCCTTCCCGAACTGCTTCAGGAAGTGGCGAGAACGATGGTGAAGTGTGTTTGAAACAAGGGGAGGGGAGTATGGTGAATATTTTGAGGGTGACAAATGGCAACATGTCTTTTACTGTAATAAATTTTTAAAAAATTTAAAAACTTTCTGTATCTTCAGATTACACCTCATAAAAAACAAATGCAGCCATTCTCTACCCAGTCTTTCTTCACCTACATTTTCCTCTTCTGAGGAAATTACTTTCGTGTCTTTTCACTATTTCTTCCGGCATTTACCTCCATATGTTTACCATATCTTATATTGTTACACTTGATTTAGCAGCTTATTTTATTTTTTGCAATGCTGAGGATCAAACCCAGAGCCTAGCTGGGTGTGGTGGTGCACGCCTATAATCTCAGCACTCAGGAGGCTGAGGCAGGAGGATTGTTTCGAGTTTGAGGCCAGCCTGGGCCACAAAGTGAGCTCAAAGCCAGCCTAAACTTCATAGGAAGACCCTGTCTCAAAAACAAAACAAAAGAAAACCAAACCAAACCAAACTCAGAGCCTTGCACAGGAAAGGCAAGAAAGAGATCTACCACTGAGCTATTACCTCACCCCTAGTTATCAATTTTAGACAACACTTCTTAATATATCATCTCTTAATACAGTGAAATATTTTGACCTGAGGCCCCTTTCACAATATTTTAATAGTCTTTAACACAACTGTTGGTTAAACTATATTGTATGACATCATTTTGCTCATGTTAACTATGCACTGCTAAGCCAAGCAGTATACTAAAATTAAGTTTTTTGCCTTATACAAATTTTCATTTTTGCTAGAGGTCAAGTTGCTTCATTTTATATCTGCTTATTTTTTCTTATGTTGATTTTTTCTGCACCCTCCTCAAGCGGATCTGCTGTTTCCCACCAGTGTTTACAGACTTCAGCTTCCTCAACCCTGCCTCTTACACTGCTCACGGCCAGTGCTGCCTGGGCCTGCTGTGTAACGATCACTGTACCACCACACTCCCAAATACTTTTAATAATCTTCTAAACTCTGGTTTTTATAGATTTTTTTTTTCTCTAAGTGACCTTAAATGTGAAGGCTCAAACTATCATTTAAGCACATCATTTGTTTTTGAAACAGGTTCTATGTAGTCCAGACTGGCCTCGTACTCGAGGCAATCCTCCTGTTGCAGCCTCCCAAGTGCTGGGATTATATGCATAAACCTGGTGGCACGTCTGTTTTGTTTTGTTTTTTTTCGGTACCGGGAATCAAACTCACGACCTCGCGCTTGCCAGGCAGGCACTGTGATGCTGAGCTAAATCCCCAGCCCCCTGGTGGCATATCTGGTTTAAACATTTTTAGAAATTATTGCCACGTCATGATGGAGGACTCTGATATCAAGTCTGCAATTCAGAGTATAGCCTGGTAGTAAACACAGTTTTATCCAGATTATGCAAACCAAAAAGAAAATGCCCAAATTTTCATTCAGAAAACATGAGGTACTACAGTCTGAGACAGAGTACTGAGGCAGAGTACACGTGCTTCTGCAAAGTGTGGCCTATCCAGGGCAATAGCCACTGTGGCACAGAGCACTGGCACAGTCAGTAGCCTGAGGGGCTCCTCAGGAGCTCACAAGACAGCAAAGGGTGCATGGAACTATAAGACTCTGACCTTCTTTCATCTTCTTCTTAATGGGCTCCAAATCTTCCTGGTCCCGGGACCCTAACAAAGAAAAATGTGCCCGTTCTCTGTCTGGGAGAGCTGAAGTGAGGCTGGAGAGTTCGTCACTTGCCACAAATGGACCACATCCTTTTGGGGAGATGCCTGCACCTCCAGACCCTGTGAAAGGTCAAACAAGACAGGTTCCAATTCATCTGCATCAGGAGAGAACATGTTGAGAAGGTGTCACTGATTCAACCCAATGTGTAGTGTGCAATTCAAGCTGTCAGCTTTTGTTTTGTTTTGTTGTGGTACTGGAGATTGAAACTGGGGCCTTCACACTGAGCTACAACCCAGCTCTTTTTCTGTTCCAAAACAGGGTCTGCTAAGTCACTTTGGCTGAGCTCAAATTTGCAATCTTCCCTCCCAGAGTACTGAGATTACAGGTATAAGCAACCATACCTGGCAAGATCGTAAAAATCGTAACATGGCTCGCCAGAAATACTACACACACAAGTCATGCATCTTAAATGCACTGGCGTCTTTCACTGTGCACGTGGAGCCCAAGTGGCACATCATAAGAAAAGACACAGAGAAGTCTGTGATGTGATCAGCCCTGAACACCAGGGATACTACACACAAATCTGCATGCCAGCAATCACAATGCACATTATCTGGCAAAGAGCCCCAAAAAAGGTGTAAAGCAGTGCACAGAAATGGGGGGTCACAGTGGGCGAGAAAAAGGAAAGGAGTGGAACCACATAGGCAAGGAGAGCTCTGATCCACATGAAGAAGCTAGAGTTCCAAATGACAGGACTGGATTTGGCAGAAACGTTGGCAAGAGCTGGGCAGATAGCTCAGTGGCACAGTGCCCACCTGGCAAGTGCAAGGTCCTGAATTCAACTCCCAGTACCAAAAAAAGGAAAAAGAAATGTTGGTAAACTTTCCCATATCCTTTATTCAAGACCTAGTTCATAATGTTATAGTACAATGTACATCTAGTTCATAATATTCAAATGGCAAATGGTATTATTATTACCATTGCTGTTGTACTTTGAGACAGGGTCTCATTATATAGTTCAGGCTGGCCTGGAACTTGAGGGGATATTTCTGCCTCAGCCTCCCTAGTGCTGGGATTACAGACATGCAGCACCATAGCTAGTACAAGTCATATTATTTGAGAAAAGGAACTGGCCTATGGTAGCTGGGAGTAAAAAAATGTACTACTATTGGAACAAATTAGCTCACATACTAAAGGATGATAAGGACAGCTAGCTTTTCAGGCTGGCTTCTGGCTCCAGCACTCACCTTACTATGATCTTTCCAAGCCTTGTATGAGCCAGGTGTGAGGACACATTCCTATAATCTCAGCACTCTGCGAGGTTGAGGCAGGACAGCAAGTTCAGCACCAGCCTTAGAAATTTAGTAACTTAGTAACCCTATCTCAAAATAAAAAATAAAAAGGGCTAGCATGTAGCTTGGTGTAAAGGCCATGAATTTGATTCTCAGCACCAAAAAAAAAAAAAAAAAAAAATCCTTCTACATTTAGCTGGGTTTATCTCCAGAACAAAGATTATAGTGATGGCACCTGACAGGCTTCATCATGGGATGGATTAACCTTTAACAAAAACCAATAAAAAGCAATTATCCCCAGGTAGAAGTGGCCATCTAGCATTTTGGCAACTCCCACTGTCTGCCAGAGGAGCTGTCTATACCAGTGCTATTTCAGTAACAGCATATTATATTATTTGAAGATTAGATCTTTAAGGAAGGGTGGGGGCAGACAGGGGCAGTTTCTATAGATAAAGAACTGATATTTGTTGTACAACTGTGGAGCTCATCCACCCCATGTAAAGCTAATTTTCTGAATCTTATTGTTTCTGTATATGTCCTCCACTGCTTCCTTCTCAGTTGACACAGATATGCCTGCCCAGTTGTCATTAAGAATCACACTTCAATAAAACATGCTAAAGACAAAAAAAAACAAAAAACAAAACAAAACAAAAACATGCTAAAGACAAAACAGCAATTATCACACCATCTCGCATCTGGTAGGTGATTCACATTAGCCACCATATAGCTACTTTGTTAGTATGCACAATTTATAAACGCATTACCCTATTTATGAAATTAGGAGATTACTAGAAAATTAATGAAGTGGAAGTGAACTAAATTGTATGTCTGCATCTCTGGTGAGCACAGAGGCTGGGTCCAGCTGGAAGTCAGACATTTCTCTGCTAGGCCCTGTCTGGTTCTGAGGGGCCTGAAGTGTGAAGAGCACATGTGCCTGGAGAACTTATAAGAACGCAATCATCCACACATTTACTCCTACCTGGCATGTTTTCATCTTAAAATGACTGTATTTTCTTCCACTCACAAATCTGAGGTAATGACATTCAAGTAGAGGTAAGTCAAAAGACTCTGAGCAGCTATAGCTAGAGTGCACATTGCTGGCATGGTCTAAACTGCACACCTAAGTTGAGACACTCACCATCTCAGTTGTTTTTGCAGCTAAGCATCCTCTGTGTCAGTCTAAGAAGCCTTCCCATGTGTGTCCTGAAAAGTCATAGCCTCACAATGTCTGTTCTGGTTTATACCTATATGTACCCCTAAAGTCCCATGTGATCACAGGCAGTCCCTTTGGAAGGTGACTGGATTATGGAGGCATGGTGACATGGAGGCACCTGACATGGTGTCAGGAGGTGGGGTCTGGTTGAGAGAGGCTGGTCACTACGAGGGTTCATCTCTCTGTCTGATCCTCCCTTCTCCCTCTGATTTCCCGCCACTATGCCCTGAGCAGCCCTCCTCAGCTCTCCTCAACCATGTATGTCTGCCATGCTATCCTACCTTGGAGCCAGCTGACTATGCAATGAAACAAGAGCCAAAATAAACCCTTCCTTCTTTAAGCTATGGGTGTCAGGTACCATCTCAGTGATGAGGAAAGTGGCTTAAGACAAGGCCATTCCTCAGAGGGTTGGGATTCTGTATGGGAAAGAGTGCAACATGTGGCTGGGAACATTTTGCTGCTGTGGTGTCTGCCTTACCCAAGGGGCCTATGAATGAGGAGGAAACTTCTGGAGGCCTAAGGGAGGACAACAGGTAAGGTGTGTCTTTGTGAGGAGTGACAATATTAGGAAGCAAAAAAGCCAAATTAACAAAAATGGAAGTAAGTTCAGGTAGCCTAAAAGATTTCCAGTTTTAAGATGACATACTGACTTTCTGCATGACTGACTCCCCTTCCACAAATCCCATTACAAAGCTTAAGGAAATGAAAAAAAGAAATAAAAAATTACTGGGGTGTGGCTCAGTAATACAGCACCAGCTCATGTGGCCCTGCATCAGTCCCAAGCACCACCAGAAAGGGCATCTTGCAGGAGAGCAGCCAGCCAGCTAGTGAGAACTGAAGAAACTGTCCTCTGGAAGAGGGTTCTCTTGCTGCTGCTGATCAATGGACAGAACCATTAGGAACAGTGATCCTGTTTGCACAGACTGACCTGGTTCCTACTAATGAATGTGGTGTGATGCCTATAGCTTTAGCAGCCATCTTGAAACCTCTACTTGACACTCTTAAGACAAAGGCAGCTTGGGTGGGCCGAACATGGTGGTGCATGCCTATACTCCCAGCACTCAGGAGGCCGAGGCAGGAGGATTGCTTTGAGTTCGAGGCCTGCCTGGCCTACAGAGTTCAAGGCCAGCCTGATCTGCATAGTGAAACCCTGTGTCAAAAAGGCCAAAAAAAAAAAAAAAAAAAAAGGCAGCTTGGGAGGACAGATGCACAGGCCCTGGAAGCATCATGTTCTGTTGAGCTGGCATTGGGCTATGTTTCTCAACTTTTTGTTATGGGACAGCTTTTCTGTCACACTCAAACACATCCTAACTGACATGTGAAGGACAACTTACAGACTGCTATGCATGTGAGAAGAGAGAACCAAGCATTCTAGGAATCAATAAGAATATGCCCAAAATGAGGTGACAAAACTGTAAAACTTCACTGAAGGGGATGATCAAGAAAAACAACATCTCAAAAAAAACCTGAAAACATTACCTTGAGTGAAAGGAACCAGTCAGAAAAACCACAGAGTTTAGGATTCTGTGTGCATGAAATGTCCAGAAGTGGCAAATCCATAAACACATGGGTTTCCATTTGGGTGGCAGAAATGTTCTGGAATCAGTGGGGATGGTCACACAATCCTGTGAATGTGCTAAGAACCTCTGATGTGTATATACTAACTTCATGATACATATAGTATATGAATTACACTTCAATAAAACTAAAAAATACCATGTTACTGTAGCTCTCGAGTCTCAGCATTTCTCCTTGTGGAACAGGTCAATATTTTCCACCAGAACTCTTACTAAGAAGAACTTTCTGCAGTGGCTTTTCTGCCTCTGTGACAATATAGCTAAGGAATGGTGAACTAAAAACTATGAGACTGTGCCCCGCCTCTCACCACAGCTGGAGGAATGCTCTTGCCCTGCACTGGTCGGCTCTGTGGAAGGGGCAGCGGCCATGGGGAAGAGGTCTGATGTCGATGTTGATGGCTGCGGTTCTTCCAAACATGCCTGGGTGGCAGGCAATGGTGGTGGAACCTGGGGATCGGCACCCCACCCTGGACCTGAGGTATCTTTGGTCACGTGGAACATATTTTCTTTATTGGCTTCTGGAAGCACAAAAGAGCAAAAGAGCACACACTCAGGGCTCCAGAAATACAGCAGGGGCTGAACACTGTTCAACAGTCTTCACACATATACGTGACTTGGCCAGGAGTTCACTTACCAAAGGATTCCTGGGTCATGCCTTGCTTCTCATTTAAAGATTCGTAGAGGTACGCCACATCTAAAAGGAAATAAATCAGCATGGTGGCCATGTGGGAAATGAGACCTCATTTCTCTTCTGTTGCCTCTGGTCATGTCACAGACCACCTATCTGTCAACTACCCTCACTTATCAGCCAGTAACATCACCAGTTTAGGAGGTCCAACACAAGTGACACGTCTTTACCAGCTTGCACAGGCAAGCTTCAGGGAAAAATGCCTCAGGAGGCAGGTTAAGGTGAAGAATGTGCGCTAACTTATAAATGCAAGCCACCAAAAGGAACAGATTTGTGCTGTGTGGCAAAAGGCTGGTTTTATGCTGAAGAATATCTTTCCTTCTTCCTTTTCCTTATGAAGGGAGACTTTATAGTGACCTCCAAGTATTTCAGGGTGACCTTCAAAGGAACCCCCTAACTGTCCTGTCCTACAATGTCCTTGTACAACATAAACTTAGACTCCTGAAGCTCTTTCCGGGCTCATCTTTGCTGTCCCAACCTCCAGAACCCTATTCCTGGGTCTTACTACCTACAACTCCAGGGCCAGAGATATAGCTCAGTGGCACAACACCTGCCTGGCAAGTGCAAGGTCCTAAGTATGATTCCTGGTATCCCCCACCCCAAAAAAATCCTTAACGACCTACAACTCCAGCTCTTCCACGGTAACTCCCAGCCCATCCCTGTTCCTCCTCTGTGGCTGGTGTTTTGAGATGCACCGCGCATAATCATGGTGATGATCATGGAGGAAAGCTCTAATCACAAAGTCAACACTCCCACTGTTCAACTACTTACACCAAGAATCGACATGGACAGTAAAAGGAACACAAGCCAACGTAATTGTTCCAACAGATTTTCTTTCTGAAAATGTTTCCTGGCCTCAGTTGGGCTCCCCTCAACACCCTAGCCAAACCTGTGTCTGACCCCTGGGGGATTTCCTCTTACTGTGTTCCGGCTCATTCTTCCTGTACACCAGGTAAATGACATCGCCAGTCTGTAAAGGGCAAGTTTGCTTTTTAACAACCTTCAATTTGTTGATTACTGTTCCATTGGTGCTGAAAAGAAAACAAAGGTATAATTTTCCCCACTCAAAATAACTTGGGATTCCATTTTTTCTGCCAGCATTAGGAAATTGGCTCAATATCAGCATTTTGAGAATACAGGAATAGTAATGCACATATGCAGGTACCATTTTATAATTCTCCTGAGGAAAGCTTGTCTGTAATTCACTTTCTCACAAACTAGGAACCACGCCACGTTAATGAGTGTTTTAACATTTCTGCTGCTCCTGTGCCAGGCTCCCTTCCAAGTACTTCCTCCTGGTGGATCCTGAGGCCTTGTCAGCAGCACCATGTTTCCACTTCTAGGCCCTCCTGAGCTTTGCTTAGCATGCCCACAGGTCTGTCTCCTGCTGATAGCCAGAATTCTGCTTAGCTCATTGCTCACATAAGCACTGATTCCTCCTAAGAGACAGGTTCTGCACTACGGACTGAAGATGATATGGTCCCTGTGCTCAGATAGTCTGCCTGGACAGGAGAGGCCAAAGCACGTGTGCCAGACCTACGCTGTGAAGGGGACACTAAACCAGACACACAGGAAGTGTCTCCCTGGGAGCGATTTCTGAGTGGAGACTTGATGGAAAATCAGGAGTTGGCTACATGATTAACTAAACACATAAATTCAGCACTGGAACCACCATGCACCTTAGCTCTGAAGCTTCCCTTATAAGGTCCACTGGTGGAGGGAATCTAGAGGAGCAGACTTCTACCACAGCTCACTGAGGTCAGGGAATGACAGCACTTTCTGCAAAGGACCAGAAAGTAACTAGTAAGTCTCTGTCCAACTGCCCCACTCTGTCCGTGGTATGAAGGAGCCAGGGAGGGAATGTAAACAAAGAGGAACGGCCACATTCCAGTCAAGCTCATAACAGGTAATACAGCCCTAGTTTGCTGACCTTGTCCATCATCCTGCAGCCAGGCCCTTTGCTGCCAGCTTCTCCCCGTCATCTGCTCACTCCTCCGCTCAAGCTCCTGTAATGGCTTCCCACTGCTCTTGGGCAGAGCAAATGCCCCAGTGTGGCTTTCCACATACCTTCTGCTCTGATCACAGTCCTTGGGCCTCTAGGCCTCCACCCAGGTGGGCCCCTCTGCCTGGACTATACCCTTCTGTCCTAGTCTGCCCCTCTCCAGGAATGTGGCATCTCTGGAAATTGGGAAAAGTGGCAACAGATTCTCCCTGAAGCCTTCAAAGGAAGTGGACCTGACCAGACCTTAGTTTTAGCCCAGAGAGACCTGTGCTGGACTTGGGCCTCCTCAACTGTAAGACAATACATGTGTGTTGTTTAAAGCCACTAAGTTTGTGGCAATTCGCTGTTAACAGCCATAGGCAATTAACACATCATCTAGCCAATGTGGTGAAGCCACGCCCAACCTAGGCAGACAGCTCCAAACAGGTTATGTTTTTCTTTTTAATTAGTACATGTTTGCAATACACAATGAACACATTCTCCTTCCCCACTTTTTTTTCCTTCCTCCCTCCATCCCTAGACTCCCTTCCCATTTGCAAAAGGTCTATCTTCTTGTTTTTTTATCTTGCTCTTTATTTATACTTCAGATTTTCATATAAGAGAAACCATGTGATGCTTAACCTTCCATGTCTTGTTTATTTTGCTTAGAATTATGTTCTCAGGGTGCATTCATTTTTCTATAAATAGGTCAAATTTATCCTCCTTTATGGCTGAGCAGTTCTACCACGTGAATATGCATTTTCTTTATCCATTCATCTGTTAATGAAAATATAGGGCCTTTCCAAGACTTAGTTATTGCGAGTTGTGCTGTAAACACATAGGTATGTACCACTGTAGTATGATGTCTTTAATTCTTTTGGGAATATATCCAGAAGAAGTATAGCTGAGTCAAATGAAATTTTTATTTTTGATTTTTTGAGGAATTTCCACACTGATTTTCAAAGAGGCTGTACTACTAATTTATATTTCTACCCATAGTACAGAGAAGGATTCCTTTTCCCCACATAAGCTTGCCAGCATTTCTTGTTTTTTGAGTTTGTGATGATAGTCATTCTTTCTGAACTATGTTGGAATTTCAGTAGTTTAAATTTGCATTTCTCTAATGGCTGAAGATGAACACTTTTCATGTATTTATTGGCATCTGTGCTTCTTTTGAGATGTGTCTATTCATTCCAATTGCCCTTCTTTGATTCTTTTATTTTGTGGGGGGTCTCATTTTTTTGAGATTTTTATATATTTTAGATATTAGTCCACTGTTGGAGGGGTAGCTGGCAAAAATTTTTTCCCATTCTGTAAGTTGTGTCTCTACTCTGTTGGTTGTTTCGATTGCTCTGCAGAAGCTTTTTAATTGTATATGGTCCCATTTGTTAACTCTTGGTGCTATTTGTTGTGCAGCTGAGTTTCTGTTCAGAAGGTCCTCACCTTTGCTATGTCTTTAAGAGTTTTACCTAATTTACCATCTACCAGTTTTAGTGTTCTTGTTTTAATATCTAGGTCTCTGAGCCAGGCATGGTGGTACACGCCTGTAATCCCAGCACTCGGGAGGCTGAGGCAGGAGGACTGTCACAAGTTTGAGACCAGCCTGAGCTATAAAACAAGCTCAAGGCCAGCCTGAACTGCATAG